CCGCGCATTTCGTCAATTTCGGGAAAAATGGGGGTTGATTCTCCGCCCCCCTCGAAAGTTGCTGCTGTTGTACGGCGTTGCCCTTACGCAGGGGTCCAGAATCCACGGGCGACGGTAACTTGTGATGATGCCGATTCTCGGGGACGTGAACGGCTGGCCAGGCCGTATCCGCGTCTGCTTCCGAGATTTCTGTTCTCCAGTCAGCTGCCTGGAAAGTTGCCTTCATCACCGTCGTCTGGATTTGCTACCGTTTCTTTATCAATCTGAAAAAAATGCAGATTTAATCTCCAATTCCATTATAAAGAGCGGCGGCGCGGGACCTTATTACTTGACCTTTTGTTTTCTTGCGGTATCTTCGGTATCTTCTGCGGTATATCCGGTATCTTCCTATACAGCTCCCTCTCCTTCCGGTATCTTGCTGTATCTTCATGTACAAAGGAGATAACGCACGCTCGCACAGCAGCCGCACTTTATTCGCGGATCTTACATTAAGACTAAAATAAGTCTAAACAATCAAAGTATAGTTATTTTAAATTCCCTCTCAGGCGCGAGGAACGACCTCGCGCACGCTGTTCCCCCTCGACAGGGCAATGGTGACGGAGCTCCAAAAAGCGTCACGTCACAACATATATATATATATATATATATATATATATATATATATATATAGTACACACACACACACACACACACACACACACACACACACATTTTTTGACATTAAGTATTGCCCCAATAAATTGTACAAAATTTAAAATATATTATTTTAAATTTTATTTATAATATATTATTTTAAATTTTGTATACGCATAAACAATAAAAAGAGTTTTATATTATCACTTTATATTGTATTATCATTTATTTTTATATATTCTAAAAGAATATTTAAATTTTTTATAGTTATTACATATATTATGAATTTGCGTTATTACATAAAAAATTTAAATCGGAGTTTATAAAAATTGATGGAATTTTTTAAAAAGCTTTTCTTTTATTTTTTTTTAGTGTGAAAAGTCCTACAAGAAACACATATTATTTAAGTGTAATCTTTATTAATTTCTTTTTAAAATACGTATATTTTTAATATATAAAAATTTTTATTTCTTGCAGATGCTGCTAAAATGCAATTTAAAGGAAATAATTCTTCCGATCAATGCATTAAAGATGCCATACAATCGTGGCTAAAGTTAGCCAAAAGTCGCCACGTGTATAATGCAAACGCAAAAAAAAATTAAAAACAAACTAATTTTTTTAAAATTAATCTATAATAATACTAACTTTTTAATTAATTAAATAACATATCTTTTAAAAAATAAAAGAAAATTACGATTGAAATTTGTTATTATTTTATTTTATATTTAGTGACATATATTCTTCGCACTAAATCTCATTACTTTTATTATTATTGTAACTATACAAGGTGTGCCATTTTAACTTACATAGCACAATATTTCGGAAACTAAGATTTATCCACAAAAATGTTTCAAACAAAAGTTATAATGTTTTAAAATATCTTTTTACTGATTTTATTACTTTGATCTTGGGTAGAGTTGTCAAAGTCAGGGCAAAATTATCTTGAATTTTTAAATGGAATCATATTTTTAAAATATAAACTGATTACCTTATCCAAGGTCAAGTGATAAGATCAATAAGTAGATATTTTTAAATCCTACAACTTTTGTTTAAAACATTTTCTTCGATAAAGCTTAATCTTCGAGATATTTTGTTGTGTAAGTTAAAATGGGACAACCTGTATAATTATATATAATACGTTTATTTAAAAACAAAAATCATTTAAAAGTATAATCAAAATAACGTATTTTAAATAGTCATTGCAATACATATTTTAAATAGTCATTGCAATACGTATTTTAAATAGTCATTGCAATACATATTTTAAATAGTCATTGCAATACGTATTTTAAATAGTCATTACAATACGTATTTTATATAGTTATTGTAATACGTTTATATAGATACTCGTAATTCGTAAAAATTATGTATTCATAAAACGTAGTTTATTTGTTTATCAAATACGATTTTAATTCGTTTGAGAATAGCATTAAAAAACGGATATATATAGTTTATGACAACGTATATTAATCGGACATCACAACTAAAATTATACGCAACTGATATACGTTAAATCTATCACATTTAGACCTCCCGTAAATACTTGATTTTAACGTATAATATACCATCTTGATTTTAACGTATAATATACCATGTTCGCGAGTGAGCGCGGATAGCTGCGACAGCGCGAGGTTTCGAAAACGCGGCAGACGGATTGCTGCGAACAGAGTTACTTGACACAAAAAAACTTCACACGACACGTAATTCTTTTTTTGATTTTGAGGTTTTTATTTTATACACCACACGATTACCAAATTTAAACAATAAAAAATTAACATAAATTTCAGACGCCGAATTAACAAAGAGAAGTCCAAGTGAGAAAGCGGTCGATATATTTGCGGTTATACAAGCGGTTTTTTCGAAGCGGTTTTAGAGTACTGCGAGCAGCGATAAGTGCGAGACTTCCCCTTGGTCCACGCGCGGCGCCCGTTATAAAGTGAGCGGATTTTTGGGCCCGCGTCGACGTGGACCAATTAATTTGATCTTTTAGCGGTGACACTATTGCGGCGTGTGTCATTGGATGTTAATGACGTCTCATGTCGGATATGCTTTGTTTTTCACGCGCGCAATCCTTTTCGATCAGCTGATTGGCGATCAGCTGATCGTGACGCATGGGCGCGCATGCCCATGAGCGGCGTAAATTTTAACGGCCGTTGACAATAATATTGTCAACGACAATAACGAGCGTTTTTTCTGGTGGCAAAAGGACGAGATAACTCGAGCGTTCGCGTTTTTTTCTAACAACAGATATTTCGAGAAGATTCTCGACGCCCGTTAATTTTAAATTCTCGAATATCTATTAGCGAAAAGATGCGAATTTCGATATGCGTTTTCTGAACTCGAATGATCCTTTTAATTTTGAACATCCCGCTCGCCTCGTCAGTACGTGACGAAATTTCCGAGTGTGTGCGGTTACAAACAGGTGTCGCGAACTGTGCTATTGAGATGTGAAATGAGTGATGAATGGAATGCGAAGTGACGTAAAGAGAAGACACGTGTTAAACAGTTGTGATAAGTCTTTCGCGAGAATAAGTAGTGCGGTGTTTGTGAGATATATAAAGTGATACTGTGAATGATTTTGTGAGTGCAGTGAAAGTTGAGAGTGACAGTGTTTTTTAAGCGATCGCAAGTGAAGTGCAATGATGAGTGAATTTTGACGCGGAGTCCGAAGAAAGAAAAGTTAATGAAGCGGCTCGGATGTGATATAAAATGTGATTGATAAATGTGATAGCGCGCGGCGCGATTATCGGAGGTAATGCACGACGGCCATGATGAACAATTCCGTGGACGGACAATTTATTGAAAAAAGACAAATAAATTGAAATAAAATACGGTGCTCGGTTTCGCTCACGAATCCGGGTGCGTTGATTCTGCGGTGTCGGCTCCAGGCAGGAGGACGATCTTGATGAGAGGCCGGACAAGCTCCGAAGATGCGGTGCGTACAGTGACTACACGCGTCACTCCGTCGTCCCCAGGGTGCAGCTTGGTGATCCGAGCGAGTGGCCATCGGGTTGGTGGAGTGATGTCCGACCGCACTAGACACAGACCGCCGACGGTGGAGCTTGCTGTGTCCTTCAACCACTTTGGTCGGGAAGCCAGTGAGTTGATGTACTCCCGCGACCACCTCTCCCAAAAGTGGTCGCGCATCCGTTGGAGAAGTTTCCAGCGGGACAAGAGGTTGACGTTGACGTCTGCCAGTAAAGGTTCGGGCACTGCCAGCAAGGGAGCCCCGATTAGAAAATGGCCCGGAGTGAGCGCCGTTAAGTCGTCGTGGTCATCGGACAGCGCCTGAAGTGGACGAGAGTTGAGGCACGCCTCCACCTGAGCGAGGAATGTAGACATTTCCTCGAAGGTGAGGGTCGTGTCTCCTAGAACTCTTCGCAGGTGGTGTTTGGTGGATTTCACCGCTGCCTGCCAAAGCCCGCCGAAGTGAGGTGCTGCCGGTGGATTGAATCTCCACCGGATCCCGTCGGACGCTGCAACGTGAGCGATGCGTCGGCCGTCGGATGATGATGCCTGGAACAGGCGTCGTAGCTCTCGGTCCGCTCCGACGAAATTGGTGCCGCAGTCGGAGTAGACTTCTTTGCACAAGCCCCGACGGGAAGTGAAGCGCCGAAACGCAGCGAGGAATGCATCGGTGGAGTAGTCCGATGCGGCTTCCAGATGGACGGCTTTGGAGGCGAAGCAGATGAAGACGGCGATGAATCCCTTGTGCGACTTGTGACCTCTTCCTTTCCCGGTTCGGATGGGAATCGGCCCGGCATAATCGACACCGGTTCGCAGGAATGGACGTGCCGGTGCGACTCGTGCCGTCGGAAGGCTGCTCATCATGGGCTGTGATGCTGCGGCCTTCCATCTCACACACGTGACACATCGGTGGATGATTCCTTTGACGATGGAGCGTCCTCGGGGAATCCAATATCGCAGGCGAAGCAGTCCTAGGGTGAGCTGAACCCCGCCGTGAAGCGTTCGTCTGTGATGTGCCTTGACGAGGAGTTGCGTCATCCATGACTCTGGAGGTAAGATGATTGGGTGGCGCTCGTCTTCTGAGAGCACAGCGTGCTTCAGCCGGCCTCCGACTCGAATGATTCCATGGTCGTCGAGGAAGGGGGTTAATTTCAATATTGGACCCTTGATTAACCCTTTATTTTGCTTCAGGGCTGTGATCTCCTTGGAGAAGTGGAGGGCCTGCACCAAACGGAGCCAGCGGAGCAGGGCTTCTTCCAGCTCGTCAGGCGTGAGATTGAGGTGAGCCTTCGACCTCGGTGAGTTGCCTCGCCATCGGCAACACCAGGCGGTGACTCTCAGGAGGCGATGGAGGTCGGAGAACCTGAGAAGCATCTCTGGTTCGGCCTTCTCCGCGGTCGTCAAGTGGGAGGCGATTGCTCTCGTCTCCGGCACCTCGACGTCGTGTGTGGCGTGGCCGTGCTGTGGCCAGACCGCTGGATCCTTGGCGAGCCATGGGGGTCCCGTCCACCAGAGGGAGTGGTTGAGCAGGTCCCGGGGCTCAATCCCCCGAGAGGCGCAGTCGGCGGGGTTGTCTCGCCCTGGGATGTGTCGCCAGCGTGCCTCCGGAAGTTACGAAACTTCTGGATGTGGGACACCCGGTTGGCCACGAAGGTTTTCCACTTCGAGGCGTGTCCTTGTATCCACTGAAGAGTGACCCGGGAGTCCGACCATAGAGTAACTGGAGCTGAAAACAAGTCTAAGGCTTCGCAAAGATGAAAAGTCAGGTTAGTGACCAAGACTGCAGCGCACAATTCCAAGCGCGGTAGAGACACGGGCTTAATGGGTGCAACTTTGCTTTTTGCAGCAAGCAGGCTGATCGTGGTCGAGGAGGAGCTCACCACGCGGAGGTACACGACGGCTGCGTAACCTCGCTCTGACGCGTCAGCGAACCCGTGGAGCTCTACGTGATTAGGTTGGTTATCGGCCTTCAGCCATCGTTGCAGCCGGAGCTGCTCCAACAGCGGAAGATCCTCAAGCAGATGTCTCCACAGCGTCTCATCTGATTGAGGCAGTGGGGCGTCCCAATCCAACTGCTTCATCCAAGCCGACTGGATGAGGATTTTGGCACAAGCGGTGACTGGAGCTAACCAGCCTAAAGGATCGAATATTCGAGCCGTCTCCGACAGCGCCTGTCGTTTCGTTAGCGGGGCGATCGTGCGAGGCTGAAGGCGGAAGGTGAAGGAGTCGCTGCGGGGGTGCCACCGTAACCCAAGCGTCGGATGCGCGTCGTCCTCCCAGTCGTGGTGTGGCTGCTGGAGTTGATGCTCCCGTGGTATCTCCTCGAGGATCTTCTGATGATTTGAGGCCCACTTCCTCAAGGGAAACCCGCCCGCCGTGCAGAGTCGGCGTAACTGCCTCTGCTTCTCGACTGCCTCGGACAGGGTGCTGGCGCCTGTGACGATGTCGTCGACATAACAGTCGCGCCTCAACGCCACTGCTCCCGCCGGGTTTGCCGGCTCCTCATCGTCGGCTAATTGGCGGAGAGTCCTGACCGCCAGGAACGGTGCACAGGCCAATCCGTATGTCACCGTGTTGAGGCGATACTCCTGGATGTCATCGGTGCACTGTCGCCTCCATAAGATCCGCTGCAGGTCTCGATCGTCTGGATATACCAGGATCTGCCGGTACATCTTCTCGATGTCGGCGATGAAGGCGAAGCGGTGCCAGCGCCAACGCAGAAGGACGTCGGCGAGAGTTGGCAGAAGATTGGCTCCGACCAGGAATGCGTTGTTGAGCGAGTCTCCGGCAGGCGTACATTGAGATCCGTTGAAGACCACTCTCAACTTGGTGGTCGTGCTGGAAGTCCGAAGCACTCCGTGATGCGGTAAATAACACACGGATCCTTTGATGAACGGTGTTTTGACCAGGGTCATGTGTTGCAGGTCCGAGTACTCCTCCATGAAGCTGTCATAGAGCTGGTTGAAGCCGGCGTCTCTGAAACGGCGTCGCTCCATTGCCGTGAGAAGTCGCTCGGCGGACTTCCGCGTGTGCTCGAGAGGTGGAAGAGGGCCAGCGGAAGACGGACCATGTACCTTCCGTCGGCAAGGCGCTCATGAGTGTGAGCGAAGATCTCCTCGCATCTCTCTTCGGCTGGGGTGAGCACGACGGACGCGGGCTGCTCCTGTTCTTGCTCCCAGAACCTCTGCACTAGAGCGTTCAGGTCGTGGTCTACGGTGCACTGAAAGGAGCTGCGGGAGCCATGGGACGTCACGACTCCGCAGCCTCCCGACAATATCCACCCGAACGTGGTCCTCTGCGCGATGGGTTGATCCTTGCGACCTTTACGAAGACCGTCAAGGAGAATGCTGGAGAAGGCATCGGCGCCGAGGAGAAGGTGGATGGGATCTCGCTGGAGATAGTGAGGATCCGCCAGAGTGAGGCCGTGTATGTGTGGCCACGTGGTGGAGCCCTTGATCGCTGGCCCCTGGTAAGAGGACAGCCGTGGAAGGACATAGGTAGCTACGGTGAGGGGGGCTCCAGTCACGCTTGACTTGAGCGCTAGTGTTACCCTCCCGCGGGTGGATCCTGAGTGGGCTCCTCCGACTCCAATTATGGACATCGAGGAGCGGGTGCGCGCCAGACGGAGGCGCTGCGCTAAGTCCTCTGAGACGAGAGACACTTCGGATCCCTGGTCGAGCAGAGCTCGCACGTCTTGAGGTCGTCCCAGGCGGTCGGTGAGAGTGACGCGCGCGGTGGCGAGAAGAGTCGCTTTTTTATCGATTGAAGTGCGTGTCGTGGAGAAAGTGCTCGCTTCGTGTGGTGTTGGTGCCGTGTACGCGTCGTGCAACAGCGTGTGGTGCCGCGACTTGCACGTGAAGCACGTTTTAATAGATTGACAACGTACCGTCATGTGGTTCCCGAGACAATTGAAGCAAAGTCCGCTGACCTCAACGAAGGACTTCCTTTCGCTCGCGGACTTCGACTTAAACTCGGGGCACTGCATGAGCGTGTGCTTGCCCTTGCAGGCGGCGCATTTGGACGCGTTGGGCACGTTTTTCGCGAAGTGAGTCTTTGCGGTCCGAGAGGCTTCCCCAGCACTCTTCACGGCGATCTTAGGTTTGGCGGCGTTCAAGGTAAGAATCCTTTTGCTTATGAAGTCAGTGAGTGCCTCGTGACTCGGTGGATTGGGAGAATCACTGGTGGAGGATTCCCACTCGAGGCGCGTTCGCGGATCGAACAGTTCGATTACCAAGTGATTGAGGAGATCCATCCCATGGGAATTGATGGGTCTACCGATGCTCTCCTGCGCGTTGACGGTGGCCGTGACGGCGTGATAGACACGGCTTAGCTCTTCGGCGGACTCGGACTTCATTTTCCCGACGGCGGTAAAGGTAGCAAAGTTTGAGCGCATGAGCTCCTTTTTATTCTCAAAATGTTTTGCCAAGATCGCCCACGCGCGGTCGTAGTTGTCGCTTGCAACCGTTAATGACCGGATCAATTTCTCCGCAGATCCCTTCACGCAGGAGCGAAGGTAATGGAAGCGTTCGATGTTCGATACCGACGGATTCTCTCCGACGAGAGATAAGAAGAGGTCCCGGAAGGAAGGCCAGTCTTCATAGGCGCCTGAGAACGGCGGCAATTTTATACGCGGCAACGCGGTTTTAGGAGAAGACTCCGACTTCGGCTCGATTCTGTGTGCGACAACTGACTCGGCGCTCAGCCTGTCAGCATAGTCGCTCAACGTGCTTCGCTGAGAAACGTACGTACATTCCGCGGTATCTATGAAGTCACTTTTGGCGTACTCACTCTCCATGTATCTGTCTTTAAGCGCCGCTCGTATCAGCTCGTGTTGAGCCTCGAATTTCGCCCAGAGGTTGTCGAGGATAGTGAGGCGAGCCTGGACGGCACCGGCGGTGATGTTGGTGACGCCCATCTTCCGGAGGTTATCCACGGAGCGAGACATTCGTCCGTGGATGTCGGTCTGGGCCTCTAACAAGGCCTTCAGGTCGGCACTCATTGTTCACTTATCTGCTTGTCTGTTTCAGCACTGCACAGCACTGGAAACGTCACCCACGAAACTGCGGATGCGGATATAATCCGGCTCGAAGGACCAGAAATGTTCGCGAGTGAGCGCGGATAGCTGCGACAGCGCGAGGTTTCGAAAACGCGGCAGACGGATTGCTGCGAACAGAGTTACTTGACACAAAAAAACTTCACACGACACGTAATTCTTTTTTTGATTTTGAGGTTTTTATTTTATACACCACACGATTACCAAATTTAAACAATAAAAAATTAACATAAATTTCAGACGCCGAATTAACAAAGAGAAGTCCAAGTGAGAAAGCGGTCGATATATTTGCGGTTATACAAGCGGTTTTTTCGAAGCGGTTTTAGAGTACTGCGAGCAGCGATAAGTGCGAGACTTCCCCTTGGTCCACGCGCGGCGCCCGTTATAAAGTGAGCGGATTTTTGGGCCCGCGTCGACGTGGACCAATTAATTTGATCTTTTAGCGGTGACACTATTGCGGCGTGTGTCATTGGATGTTAATGACGTCTCATGTCGGATATGCTTTGTTTTTCACGCGCGCAATCCTTTTCGATCAGCTGATTGGCGATCAGCTGATCGTGACGCATGGGCGCGCATGCCCATGAGCGGCGTAAATTTTAACGGCCGTTGACAATAATATTGTCAACGACAATAACGAGCGTTTTTTCTGGTGGCAAAAGGGCGAGATAACTCGAGCGTTCGCGTTTTTTTCTGACAACAGATATTTTGAGAAGATTCTCGACGCCCGTTAATTTTAAATTCTCGAATATCTATTAGCGAAAAGATGCGAATTTCGATATGCGTTTTCTGAACTCGAATGATCCTTTTAATTTTGAACATACCATCATGTGTTTATTGGGTTTCTTCTATTTTTTTTGTTCTGTTTTTCACTCATTTCTTCTATTTTCTTGTCAATGTTTGTATTTTCACTTGTCTTTATTGTTTCTCTGGTTGCTTCCATATTTTTTCCAATTGAATTGAAAAAAGCGAGAAATGAAAAATAGTTATAAAATTTATTTTAACAAAATGCGAATATACACATACTTAACATTATTTTTAATGCTAACAAATGTTATTTCCATAATATTGTATATATATTTCGTTCTTTCATATATATAATACCTAGATCTTTCTATGCAAAAACTGCTAATACTAATTTAAAGTGGGAGTTCATTTGAGAAATATAAGCCGTACAATTTATTTTAATGAAATTTATACATACATATTTAATATTATTTTTTATGCAAATGATTATATTAATTGTATAATGTTGTATGTGCATTTCACTTTTCCTTATATACCTGGATCTTCCTTTGCAGAAATATATTTCTTTTACTTATGTTGGTGATTCTTATATACGTCGTCCTCTTCATCTTCTTCATATATTTTCTATATCTTTACTCATCTCGTCTATTTTTTTATACGTTTTTGTCTTTTCACTCACTTTTCTTACTTTTTTGATCACTCCTGTATTTGTTGTCATCTTTTATATTTCTTGAATCTCTTCTATATTTTTTTTTCTTTCTTCATTTGTTTGCCTGCTTTTATATTTTCCTCGGCTGAATAGAAAGAGAGAAAAAATTGAGAAAAATATTTATGACATTTACTTTTATAAAATACTTATATACATATTTAATGTTATTTTCATTGCTAATGAATTAATTTTACAATATGTACATTTCGTAATTTTATATATTTTACAGATCACATATTTTTCTATGCAAAAGCATATATTTTTTTACTTACTTTTCTCTTCTCCATTTTCCTTGTCCAATTCTATATTTTCTGGTACGTTCCAACACAATTCAGAAATGGCAACTGTAGAATTTATTTTAATGAGACACATATACATACATACTTAATGTTATCTTTGATGGAAACAGATATTAATTCTATAATGTTGTATGTAATGTTGTTTCGCCTTCTATACTTGGGTGTGTGTGTATATGTATGTGTGGATCTTGCTTTGCAAAAATATTTTCTTTTTACTTATCTTCGTTGTCTTCATCTGTATCTTCATACACCTTTGCTTTTTGTTTGCTTCTTTCTATATTTTTGCTCATTTTCTCAATCTTTTTGTCCGCTTTTGTATTCTTACTCATCGCTTTTGTTTCTTTGACCGCTTTTTTATTTTCTTTCTTCTTCTCTATTTTGTGGCCCTTTTTATATTTTTTCCTGCTAAAATCAAAGAAAGAGAGAAATTAAGAACAATTATGTATAAAATTTATCTTGACAAAACACATGTACACATACTTAATATTTTTTGCCCGCTTTTGTCTTTTCATTCACTTTCCTTACTTTCCTCCTTACTGTTTTGATCGCTCTTATATATTTTCTCGTTTTTTTCTGTTTCTTGAGTTTCCTCTATATTTTCTTTTACTTTCTCTATTTGTTTGGTTGCTTTTATATTTTCCTCGCTGAATAGAAAGAGAGGGAAAATTAAGAAAAAATATTTATAAAATTTACTTTTACAAAACACTTACACACACACACACACTTAATTTTATTTTTATTGCTAACGAATGTTAATTCTATAATACCGTACATTTCGCTCTTTTATATGTATATATTTAGATCTTTCTGCACAAAAATATATATATTTTTGTACTTACTTTTGACTTTTTTATTTTTTTTCATTTTTATTTCGTTCAATTCTCTGTATCTTTGTACCATCACTCTGTACCCCTGCATATTTTCAAAGCAATCTACAAAATTTAATTTGATAAATTTATATGCATACATACTTAATAATTTATTTTTATATAATTTATTTATAATATTGTATGTTTCGCTCTTCTACCCTATTATACTTTAAAGTTTTATGTGCAAAAATATATATTTTTTTTTACTTACTTTTGTCTTCTTTATTTTCATTGTCCGATTTTACACCTATTCGGGATCGCAACTTTGAGAATTGCTAGCGTAATGCCGGTACACGTCCGAGTGGATATCCCGAGTTTGCAGATCACGTTATTGCGCACTGGATGAATGACGGGATAGAATAAAGTAAAATTGCTTCTTTGATTACAACACAGTGACATCCACACAAGAGTGGCGATAAGTTTATTGCGCAAAATTACACTATATGTACAAAGTTTATGAGCTTTCGATGCGTGTGCGACTCTATTTCGAATATTTGAACACGTCGAGATTCGTACTCGGTTTGGGCGAGATCACACTATATAATTGTTCACTTGATTAAGCGGCACAGCGGTTATCAGCTGTTCGCGAGATTGAGCGAAAGCTCAATATTATACGTTCGCGCGAGAGCGAGCGAGGCAGCGCTCTATCAACTTTCCGCGAGAGCGAGCGAAACCGCACTATTCACGGTTGCACGCACGAGATTGAGAGAGACAGCGCTCCATCAGCTGTCTGCGAGAGAGAGAACGAGATGGCTTTATTATGGCCGTTCGCGAGATCAAGCGAGACTGCGCTATTCACGGGTGCACGCACGAAACTGAGAGAGACAGCGCTCTATCGGGCTGTCTGCGAGAGCGAGCGAGACCGCACTTTCCACGGTTCGACGCGAAACAGAGAGAGACAGCGCTCTATCGGACTGTCTGCGAGAGCGAGCGAGACCGCACTATTCACGGTTTGCATGAGAGCGAGCGAGACGGCGTTATTGCGACTGTCCGCGAGATTGAGCGAGACCGCACTATTCACGGTTCGCGTGAGAGCGAGCGAGACGGCGTTATGTCACGAGCACACGAATGAGCGGAGGCTCAATGAGAAAGAGGTTCCCCCTCTCACTCAGAGTGGAGGCGCTCCGATGAATGCCAGCACTCGCGCTCAGAATGTTCACGTGTGATACGGAATCGATTCGTTCAACTGAGTTCGAATTGATTATTCGCGATACTTTATACAAGGACTAATCAGTTCATGCACTCGCGACTTTAACGTCTTACTTGCTATTTACTTAGAAAATTCTCGAACTTTGCACTTCCGATTCGCTTTCGATTACTTGCACTTTCAAAGACTCTTTATGATTTCATAATAATTCTAACTCGACAATGATTTCGCAATTATTCCGCAATAACTCAGCAGTAACTCCGCGGGAGAGAGCCTTTCTCTCGATAATAAGGAATCGATTGCACATCGGATGATCCGATTTCAACGTATCACGGTTTGTCACGTCAAATCGCGTGATGTTTCGAGTTTCTAATTGGCCAGGACCATGTATTATTACGCGATCACGCGGATCCTGGCTGATTTCGAAAAAACCGTACGGAATTAGATATTTGCGAGTTCGATTTGGCGCTCACGGATGGAGCCAGTATGACGGGAGGTAATATTTTAACTCTAAATTCGGGGCGAATCCTGAACAACACCTATTTTATCTATCTCAAGGTTAAGCAATTTTGAAGCATCAGCTACAAAATTTTGATGAAATACATAAATACATAAATACATACTTTATATAATGTTATTCTTAATATAAACGTACATTTCTATAATTAATTCTATAATTCTACAATTATATATTATATATGTCGGTTTTCTTATAACTATGTGAGTCTTTCTTTGGAAAAATATATGTATATTGTTTGTTACCGTTCCGTCTGTTTTCTTCCATCTCAATTATATGTTCTCCTGTTGAATGGAAAAAAGAAAGATTAGGAACAATTATCTATAAAGTTTATCTTAACAAAACACATGTACATATTTATACAATTTTAATGTTATTTTTAATGGGAACGAATATTAATTCTATAATCTTGTATGTATATATTTCGCTCTTGTATACTTGTATGTGTGCATGAGTAAATAACAAACACATGTATACATACTTAATATTAGTTTTAATGTTTAACGTTAATTCCATGATATGTACATACATTTCGCTCTTTTATTTCAAGATCATTTTATGCAGACATATATTTTTGTTTACTTACTTGTCTTCTTCACTTTGCTCGCTCTCTTCTGTTCTTCTTGGTACTGAATATCCGACATATGTAAGGGTACGATAT